CCCCGTTAGTCTTTCGTCCAACCCGCTCGTTCGACATCCGCCCAAGCAACTTTCGGTAGTCTTCCGTCCAACCCGCTCATTATCATTATGATGTATTCAATGCGGTGAGAGATTTTCAATTGAAAGAGCTTCATAGCAGATTTAATGATGGGGCTGTAGAACTTCTCCAGCTTAGCTCTGCATTGGAGCCTCGAGATAACTTTAAGTTGTTCAACTGCGATGATATTTATATTCTTGCCGAGAAATTCTATCTGAATGATTTTAGTGGACAAGAGCTACATTATTTGAGGAGTCAGTTAGAACATTATAAGTTTGATGTTGTCCAGAATGAGAGGTTCCAAAATATTTCTACCATTTCCGATTTATGTCGGCGGTTAGTAGAGACGGAAAAGGCAAGACATTATCACTTAATTGACAGATTGATTCGCCTCATTTTGACGCTCCCTGTTTCTACTGCAACAACTGAACGATCATTTTCAGCTATGAAACTTCTCAAAACTCCTCTTCGAAATAAGATGGAAGAAGACTTCTTGGCGGATTCTATGATTGTCTACATCGAAAGAGATTTTACTTCAAAGATCGACACAGATTCAATAATTGACGAGTTTTATAGTATGAAGAATCGGAGGGCGCAACTTAAAATAGGTAACATATTTTTTTACGTTTTTGAATAGTTGTAATGAACATGAAGCATTTTATATGACTTGTTAAAAAAAAACTTATTTTCTATTTTCCTTTATTAATTTTATCACATTAATTAAATTATTACTATAACCGATTAGCCCAGGGTATTTTTTTTCTGGCTACACCCCTGCCTATGTAGTTCTATGTTTTATTAAATATTTTATTCAATTTTACGGTTTTGACAATTGTTTTAAAATTGGATCTACCCGGCGGGTCAACTTAGGGTGGGGACTGGTTTGGATGGGTTGTTTGGATCGAGTAGCAAGGGACCCAACCAAACCTGGTCAAGACCCGATCGACCGGGTATTGATTCGGCCGGGTCAAGTCAGTTTGACCGACCAATAAATATTTTTATTTAATTTGTTATATTTTTTAAATAAAATTATGTATAAAATTTTGGGGTATAGAATTTAGATATAATTCTTTTTTATTCTAAGGTAATAGTGCTATAATTATAATTTAAAATTCTACAAAATTAATTATCCGGTTCAACAATTAAACCCGACAACCTGGTGGTTGGACCGGTGTCCCGGTAACTCGGAGACCTGCCCGGGTCAATGGTTGATCTGAGTTTTAAAAAATATGCTGTTGACGCTAATTTGCGTTAATTTTACGCTAAATTATCAAAATACAAAAATGATCAACTTCTTCGTTTTTTTTCTTCTATTGTATTAGCCTCATGTTTGTAAAAAAGTATTGAAAATTGAAATGTTTGATATTGTTATAATTGAGTGTAAATATTTTTTCCAACTAATATTCCTACAACTAAGATT